TCACTGCTTGGTCTTCTGCCACTCGCCGATCCTTCTCTTGTCAACGCTCCCTGCTGGTGTTGACCGCCAAGCGCGAGCGCTATGAGGGTGGCCAACGATCAGATCGGGAGGCCCTCTTTGTGCCGTACGGTCGGACCGAGGCGTAAGATTGAGGTCGGTTCGGGAAAGGGTACCCTAGGGTCCTTCGTGTTTGATGGATGATTCCAATGCGTCCCTGAGAGGGCGTCCTAGGATGTTATGTGTGTATGTGTGTGTATGTTAGCCGGCGGAGGCTCTCATGTTTTGAAGCATGTTTTTGTTGTGTCGTAGGTCCGATAGTAGATGGGGCAGCAGGGGCCAGCCAAAGATGTTCCCACGCGTCAGCAGGTGCGTGGGCCCGTCGAGAACGGACAGGCGCACATGCCACATCTCATAGTGAAAGACAGAGGGGGGCCACAACTCTTCGGACGGGCAGCTGCAGAACCCCTCCGGCCCAGCCATGAAACGGAAGGCCTGTACTCCAGATTTCGTAATAAAGGGAGGGGGGTCTCATTTCGGGGGGGGGTCTCTTCCAGGCTATCTTGGAGGGCCTGGGGGGGTCTGGGGACGATGTTTTGGAGGGTTCTCCCACGGGGGGGGGGTCTGAAATGGCTTGTCTTGGAGGGTCCAGACCCCCTCCCTTTTATTACGAAATCTGGAGCATACATCCGACCCGCTCCCTTTTTATGGTGAAGCCCAGAGAGCAGCGAGAAGAAGGCCTCCGAGGGGCTTCCGGGGGACGACCCCAGGCTTCTGGCCGCGAGCCCCGCAGGCCTCGGCCCCGTCGGCCCGGCTTTTTTCCGCTCGGGGCGGCCATATCGGACGGGACCAGGACGAGGACTGGGTAGTCGAAGGCCAGACTGTCAGATTGGATTGGGCCCCAAGGGCCAATCTGGCCCGGCCAAACTGGATGGTTTGGGTTAGTCGCCAGACTGGATTCGCGTTGGCTCCTCGCCAGATTGCCCGCGTTTGCCAGATTGGGCCTGCCAGATTGGCGCCAGATTGGCTTCGACTACCCAGGAGGATGAATTCGTTCCAGAGCGTTCGGGCACGCTCTGAGGAGGCCGCGGCGACCAAGACATCCTCCAGAGCCGCCAGATCTGAATGATTCTCGGCTTATCCTCACCCCAAGTTAATGGAGGATGACGATTGATACATGACCGGGGGTCGTGTTCACGCGGCGGCGCCCGGGGTGACGATTAGAAAAAAACGGCCGCGGGCTGGAAAACTGTTTTTTTTCAACCGTTCTCCTCCAGTCAGGAACTTGTGCAGAAATAGCAGAAAACAATTGTTTGATCGCTCCCTCCCATTATTTTTTTTATCGTCATCCCGCATTATCTTAGCTTTTCCGCTCGGGGCGGCTGCACATCCCGCAGCGTCGGGTGCCGAGGCAATCGCCTCGCAGAGAAGGGGGCGCTTCGGGGCAGCGGCCACCGGCCTTGCCTGTGCTGCTTGCTGCTGCTGAATCCTCCTCCTCCTCTTGCTTCCTGCGCTGGCGACAGCATGCCTTCGACGCGGAGCGTTTCGTGACTCAACAGGCTTACGCCAGCCCGCCAACCCCCAGAAAAGGCGGGGAGTCCACGGTTGAGGCGTCGTGGGCTTTTTGGCATTATTTGGGGACTTCTACAGGCGTTTTTTGGGAGCTGTTTGGGGGCCTCTTCCTCGTGCCTCCTCCGCTGGCGACAGCATGCCTTCGTCGCAGAGTGTTTGGTTACTTAGATGGAGTAGGCACATCAAACAAGAAGCCAGCCTCCCAACAGGTGCTCCACGAACACGAGTCATCACCCCAATCTTCCCAGGGTCCAACGAGAGTTTTTAGGCCCCGTTGGATGGTTAAATTTGGACCACGAACGAGCCCCCCGTATGCCTGATTGGAATATCCACTGCGAGCAGGCCCGCGACGCGAGGGCTCGTGTGTATTCGGCTTAGCAGGATCCGAGGCTTGTTCGCTGGTGCGTTCCTCTCCTATGCCTTCCTGCTACTCTTTCAGGTTGGTTCAAAAGGAGCCCTCCGAGCCCTCGAGGGCTCGGAGGGCTCACAAGGTTCAAAAGGTTCTTTCAGGTTGGTTCAAAAGGTTGCTATTCTTGCTATTCCGCTCCCTCGAGCGACTTGCCCAGGTTGGTGCACAAGCGTGTTGTGATGACCCCGTGGCCCAAGATTGACGAAGCGCGCTGGGATCTGGAAAGCCTTCTGGACGGAGGGCAGTCGCCGCCCATGAGAAGGATGGTTCTGCAAGGATGCCATTTCGTCCTTCGCCTTTTCGGATGGAAGTCTCATGAGGACTATGCGGCCGTGGGTGTCACCGATCCCCTCGCGTGCCCTCAGGGGCGCCTACAAGCATTTCATCCCTGAGCCTCCGACGCGTCACACTGGGTCCGTGGTCTTCTCGACCTCTTCCTCGAGGCCCGCTTCTGGTCCCGTGCTGTGTTTTCTAACTGTCCCAGGGCAGCCTCTGTCAAGCCCGAAGGTTTCGACAGGTGTCCGTCTCGACGTTTTTCCCCAAGATGTATGAAGTTTGGAACTTCGCGGATGTCTCCAGAAGTCCCCCCAGAAGACGCTCCAAAACGTAAATAGTCCTCCCTCTTCCCCATGTCGGGAGGCAGGGGAGGGACAACTCCGCTCAAATCGGCCCCCGGACCAAGACCCCTCACGTGTGCCCATCCGTCGCGTCGAGAGTCCTCGAGGGTCCCTCCTCCTCCTCGTTCCCAAGGCACGCGGGCCAGCAGCCTTGTCGACACCCACGCCCGGTCCTGGCCAAGCCGGTCCACGCCCAGCTGGTGGGCCTGGCAAGGGCCAGTGACGACGGGCGAGAGGCGTCCGTTGGGGCTCTTCTCGGGGCGGACGCACCCGCTTCGTGCTTTCCATATACTCGCCGCGCTCGCCCCAACCTGCGTTGCAACATCTGGCGCGCAGGACTTGCGGATCGCCAGGGGAGGGCGCTGCACGAGGAGAGGGCCCGCGCCGCCCTGCGTGGGACCTCGGATGGGGGCGAGAAGGAGCGTGGACAGGGGGAGGAGGTGATGAGGACGGGGAGGTGCAGGAGGACGGGGAGGTGTAGGAGGAAGGACGTGAAGGACTAGGTGGTGGTTGGGAAGCACACGATGATGAGGATGACGATGCCGATGACGATGACGATGACGATGACGATGATGCCGATGACGACGACGACGACGATGACGATGACGATGACGATGACGATGACGATGATGATGATGATGATGATGATGATGATGATGATGATGATGATGATGATTCGGATGACGATTACGATGACGATGGAGATGGTGATGGTGATGAGGATGAGGATGGGGATGAGGATGAGGATGAGGATGAGGAGTAGGATGTTGATGAGGATAATGATGATGATGATGATGATGATGATGATGATGATGTTGATGATGCTGACGACGATGGTAATTATGATGACGTTGGCGATGGCAATGACGATGGTAATGACGATGACGATGCTGATCATGACGACGATGATGATGACGATGGCGATGGCGATGGCAACGATGACGACGATGATGATACTTTTGATGACGACGATGACGACGACGAAGATTACGATGATGAGTATGCTCATGCTGATGTTTATGATGCTGACGACGACGACTACGATGCCGACGATGTTGGTGGTGACAATGATGATGGTGTTGATGATGATGATGATGATGATGATGAATATGCTGTATGATGGAGGTTGCCGGTGATGATGACGATGTCGATGATGATTGCGATGGCGATGATGATGGTGACGATGACGATGACGATGATGCTGATGAAGGTGGTGATGATGATGATGACGATCGCGGTGATGCTGACGACGATGACGATGACAATGATGATGATACTTATGATGATTACGGTAATTTCGGTTATTACCATCATGATGATGATCATGGTAGTGATGGTGATGCTGATGATGATGATACTAATGATGCTGTTCATGATGTTGGCGATGACGTTACCATGACGATGATGATGGTATGATGGCGAGGATGCGGATGATGATGCTACTGAGACTTAGGAAGATGTTGAGGATGAGGATGAGCATGAGAATGAGGATGATGATGGTGCTGATGATGAGGAGGAGGGAGATGCTGAGGATGATGATGAGGATTAGGATGAGGATGAGGACGAGGAAGATGATGAGGATGATGATGGTGATGGCGCTGCTGCTGATGGTGGTGGTTGTAGTGATGCAGATGCTGATGATACTACTGATGCAGGATGGTTTCCATCATGACGTCCAGGTTGATGACAAAGCGGAAGAGGAGCATAACAGAGATGAGGATGAGGACGATGAGTAAGTTGAGAGCGAGGACGAGAAAGACCGTGAGGTTGCTGCAAATGCTGTTGCTGATGCAGATGCTGATGTCGACGAAAACTACGATAATGATGATGTCGATGATGTTGCTGCTGATGATGATGGTGGTGATGATGCTGATTGTAGTCATTAGCATGAGCATGATCCTGATGGTGATCATGTTTGTGAGGATGAGCGCAGCAGCGCAGCAGTGAAGCAGGAGGGGGATATGTGCAACGGCATCCGCATCAACCGCGCCAGTGTGGCGACGTTGGCAGTTGCAGCATATACGTTCTCGTATGTAACGGGTGGAGCAGACGGGCATCAGCAAGCACACCGAGAGGGCGGATGAGAAGTACACAGGGTGCGAGATGAACGGGATGAGCCCTCCTCTTCTTTTTGGTTGCCCTGACACGCCCGGGTTGAAGCGAAATACCTTCTAGTTGTTCAGAACGTCTGGGTTACGCCGTCGGGTTACTCACGCTGCGCGTTGGCTCACCACTGTTTGGACCACGTTTTCGCGAATGTATCGCGCCCGACATGCGTTTCCAATCTGCCTGCTCGGCTCAGCGTCAAGGCGCTGCGGCTGCGTTTTGCGTGCCAGGGCAGCTAAGCTCGTCATGTCGCCTCCTCCCCCTCTCAGGAGGGCTCAGGATGAGGAGAAAACGCTCTTGGACGGCCACGGCGCCCGAGACGTCCTGCAGACACGCTGGCTATCAGAGATGCCCGCTTTGTCCTCATCTGGATGTGTTTTCACCTTGCCTTCGTCTTGCCCTGCCTCCTTCTCCCTCTCCTGCCGCGTGCCGCAGACAGCGTCCTCCCCCCCCCCGCCCCTGGGGTGCGTGATGGGCGATCGGGGTCACGATGGCGCTCGGCGGCTGGGAGGGGCTGGGCGGGAGCGGCGGCAGCTCGCAACAGAGGGCTCCTCCTCTCCTCTCGGCTGCGCGCACGAGTGACCGTCCGCCTCTTCGGCCAATCGGTTTAGGACGTTTCCGTGGGTTCCTCGAGGTGTTCCAGCCTCTCGGGATGCGTGCCAACTCGCCTCGCCGATAGCGTTCTGGAGATGCTTAGATCGTCCCGAACGGCTGCTGGAGGCCTGGATTATGACACGAGTGAGTTTTGGTGCGTGGTTTTCGGGGGGCGCGCGGGGGGGCTAAACCCGAGCACGTAGGCCGCTGCCGTCGCATCGCATGCAACGATCGGCAAGCTTCGCACGAAAGGTCGCTCGTGCCCGGGGGGCACACCTGCGTGTAGCCGACTTTCTGTTCTTTCCCATCACCATTTTGTCCTCCATCTGGGGCGCTCCAGACAGGGGCCCCGTCTCCCCAGCGGGAGGTCGTCGGCAGTCGGCGGAAGTAAGCGGCGGAAGCCCACCAGAAGCAGGCGGAAGTAAGGGGTGCATCCCCAGGAGATGTTAGCGTTTTGGGGTTCAGGGTGTCTGGAGCAAGCCCAGAGACCACTGCAGCCGATTCACAGCGGGCCATCTGGTTCGCGGCGTGGGACAGAATCGGCCCTTAACATGTTATGGCCACTACATTCCCACCATTATCATCGTCATCATGATCATCATCATCATCATCATCATCATCATCATCATCATCATCATCATCATCATCATCACCATCACCATCACCATCACCATCACCATCATCACCATCATCATCATCATCATCATCATCATCATCATCTTCTTCTTCTTCATCATCAACAACATCATCAGCAGCCGCAGCATCAGCATCATCATCACCATCATCAGCATCATATTCATGTGTGGTGCTACTGGTTCCCAAAAAGACTGGCTTGTGGTCCCGGTGGCGTTCCATATAGTACGTACCAGAAGAGCAGAGTCATAGGTAGAGAGATTATGTACGATGTTTGCACGGACCTGCTGAACCTCGGTGTTCTGCCTGACGGTTTGAATCATGCGCATCAAGTTTTTCTACCAAACGATATTCCTCCTGGAGCCTCAAGAGAAACCACAAAGCGGGCTGACAAAACCCGGCTCATCACCTTCTCCAACACCGACAATCAGGTTCTCGCCAGTTCCCTCGGGGTCCCCTTCCAGGTGCAATGGCAATACGTTGTCTTTGAGGTACAAAGCGGATTCATTAAAAGGCTGACTATTCTAGACTATATATTTTCGATTGAGGCCGCGCTGATCCTCTTAGGTTGTCCGCAGGCAGGTCTGCTGCTGATGGACATCGGCGCCGCCTTCCCCTTCCTTTGCCACTCCTGCATATTTAAGATGCTGGGGGCCAGTCGAGTTACTGCTCATGTTTTGCAAGCGGCTCGGCAGCTTTACTCGAGGATATATTCTGACATTCGCCTGGGAGGCAAACGGTTTCCTGGATATTGAACTTCCAGCGGGACGAAACAGGAATGCTTTCTCTCGGGATTTTTTTCTTACCATCGCCTTCTTACCGGGTGCCCGGGGGGGCCCCCGGGTGCCCGGGTGCCCGGGTGCTCGGGCGTGCCCGGGGGTGCCATAGTGCCCGGGTGCCCGGGTGCCCAGGTGCCCGTGTGCCGGGCTGCCTGGGTGCCCGGGTGCCTGGGTGCCCAGGTGCCTGGTAGCCCTATATTGCTCTGTAGCCCTATAGCACTATAGCCCTAATAGCCCTATAGCCCTATAGCCCTATAGCCCCAATAGCCCCATAGCCCTATAGCCCCAAAAGCCCTATAGCCCTGTAGCCATGTAGCCCTATAGCCCAATAGCCCTATAACCCTATAGCCTTGTAGCCCTATAGCCCTCTAGCCCCCTAGCCCTAAAAAGATTATGATTGGGTTTTCCCTCCGGTATCATCAATCCTGACTCTCTGCTCCTGGACTTCATGTGGCGGATAGGCCACCTCACAGGTCACAAAGGCAAGACCGTCCTTGTCTTTGCCCGCGAGTTCGCCGAGGCGGACGTCCGCGAAATGTTCGTGAATTCTTGAGCTGATATACCAGGGGTCTCTATTGCCAGATGTGGGCTCTATCGTTGAGTGTGGGTTGGGCCTGGAAGGTCCTGCCGAGCTTGGACTGCCCATAGCCAGGAATACATTGAGCGTATGGGTATGTCAAAGGTCTCTGTCTTGGGCTTTCTCAGAGCCTGGTATGATACAATCCGTTTGCGCTCAGTGTCCTCAGTTGTACCATGAGTGCTCATAACATACCCCATTACCAGACAGCGCAAGCGCCTTGAGGACTCAGGGCTCCAGGGGCTCACACGTGTCCCTGGGTACGCATTCAACTCTGACATGATTCGGTCTGCGGTTAGATTTGGTATTCCTGTCCGCGTGCGGAACCTCGAGTGCCCGAGCCAAGCCAGTATGTGTCGGGCCGCCCTCAAGAGTCGTGCGTTTAGTGAGCTTCGGTTTCAGCATTACCAATGGGGGAGATTGGCATCGAGCGTTTGGTCCTCCCTCGGGTACGGGAATGGATGGAGTCATCCGTATGTTTCTCGCTACTGCGTAGCTACAGGGGCCTGACCAACTTCTGCCCCGAAGTAGATGAATAGACTCACGGTGTTCAACGAAAAGTATACCGTAAGCTTCCCGGCGACATCAATCCCCCCATGGGCCAGCTGCTCGTGCCATGCGGTGTGACACCTTCTGCCAGATCATGTTCATGGGCGCCAGGAGATTGTTTTTTTATCCTCTGGGGGGTAACGCTCGTTACCCGGGCCTCTCCCCCCCCCCCCCCCCCCGTAACGGTAACGCTCGTACGCGGGGGGGGTCTCGGTCTTCCCCTCCAACATGCTGGTGCCCGAAGGCATGCGCACTGTGGTGTGGTGGTCGCAGGCGCACTGTGGGCGCTCGCAGGCCATTGCGGCGCTCGCATGCGCGATGCTGGTGCTTGCGGGCTTTGCGCTTGTACTCGAATCGTCGTCGTCGTCGTCGTCGTCGTCGTCGTCGTCGTCGTCGTCGTCGTCGTCGACGGCGCCCGAAAACGGCCTCCGGAGGCCGAAACAGGCGGCAAACGTCGTCGTCGTCGTCGTCGACCTCGTCGCTCGTCGCTCGTCGATCATCGTCGTCGCGCGCGCGGGCGCGGGCGTGGTGCCGGGACCACGCGGCGGGCTTTGCGCTTGTACTCGAATCGCAAGCCACTGTGGTGCTCTCAGGCAGAGAGTGCTGCTCGCGCGCATACTATGGCGATCGCAGAGCGCCCCTGCTTCGCCATACCCCGCCCAGCCCAAGCGTTACCGTTACCCGGGGGGCACGACCCCCCCCCCCCCCCGGGCAACGAGCGTTACCGGCCGGAATAAAAAAATGATCTCCAGTGGCATCAAGTTAACCGCCAAGCGCTTGACACTAATATTAGGACTGCATGCAAAATCTGTCTTTTCCTTGGCGTGAATGTAATGAGGAGTGTGAACAACGCGTGGCCGACCACCGCTCGCTACCGTCTTGGCACCAGCAGCTGCAGGCATGGATGCGGGGCGATCCGCGGTGGCCATGTAATTCATACGTTGATTGTCTTCTTGCGCTTCCCTTTCTCTGCGAAGCGGTCCCCTCTCTTCCTGCATGGTACAGTCATCTTAGAGGATACGAGAGGCTCTTACGCAAGTTCCCCATATCCCCCCTCCTTCCCCACTGTCTTGCATGTTTGCCTTCTCGTGCATGTCCTTTTTGCTTTCTGCGTTCACTTTTCAGAAGCGAGGAGTCCTGTTGGCCTGGGAGGCTCAAAGGGCTGTTCAAAAGCCGGGCTCGCGCTGTGGCCAAGAGGGTCCAAGCGCTTCGCGAAGCTCTCAGCAGGCGATCTGACACACGAGGTAGGGTCTGCTCACCATCATCAGCATCAGCATGACCACCATCATGCATCAGAGGATCCTCATCATCATCGCCGCCGTCGCCATCATCAACATCACCATCACCAGTTTCATCATCAATATGATCATCATCGTCGCAACCATCACCGGCATTATCGTCATCACCATCATTATCATAAACCACATTACCACCAGTCTCCGCATCATCACCACCTTAATCATAATCAATATCATCGCCATTGCCATCAGTAGTTGCATCGCCATGCTCATCACAGCCTCCTAATTGTTGCCGTCAGCATCGCCATCACCATCAATCGTCATCACCATTAGTATTATCATCACCGTCATCAACATCAGCATCGTCGTCATCTCCATCAGCCGCACCACCACCGTCATCATCTTGGTAACCACCGTCGCCATCACCATCACCGTCATACTCGACATCACAACCATCAGATTTGTCATTGTCGCCATCACCATTACCATCATCATAAACCTCACAATCGCAATCACCATCACCATCACCATCATCATCATCATCATCATCATCATCATCAGCATCAGCATCAGCATCAGCATCATCATCATCGCCTTCGTCGTCGTCGTTGTCGTTGGCATCACCACCTATCATCACCAAGCCTACCAGCAGCAGCAGTATCATCGCCACCACCATTAGCATCACCATCAACATCACCATTGGCATCGGCATCGGCATCGGCATCGGTAGCATCATCACCAGCAGCAGCATCAACATGATCAGCATCACCACCATCAGTAACCTCATCATCAGCATCATCATAATCACCATCACCATCATTGTCGTCATCAACAACATCAACATCAGCAACTGCAACAGCATACGCGCCCGTTCGCTCATCTTCTCTCTCCTCCTCCCTCCCTTCGTTTTTCCCTTCGTTCGTTTTTCGGTCGTTCCTCCTCCCTTCGTTCCCTCTTTTTGTTCTCCTCCACCCCCTCCTCGTCTCGCCAGTCCTCCCGGCGCCCGACACTGCGGGTCGGCCAGTTCGGTGGACTGGAGCCCGTGCCGTTCCCCCCCCCGTTCGAAGTAGTTCAACTCCTCTCCGTCCCCCCCATCCTCCCCTCTCCAGCCGCCGCCCCGCATCCCCCTCTCTCCTTCTCTCTTTCTTCACCTCGTCCTCTCCCACTCCGCCTCCCTCCTCCGCCCTGCCCCCCCTCCTTCTCCTCCCCCCCTCCTTCCTGCCGCAGTCGTCGTCCTTTTCCTCCTCGTTCCCCCTATCCCCTTCTCCTCGCCTCCTCCGCCCTCCCCCCTCCATCGCGCCCCTTGCCTCGCCCATCCTTTCCTCCTTCTGCGTTCTGGGCGGGGCCGCAGCCCGTGCAGGGGCCCCCACAGGTGGCAGGGACGGCTCCGCGCGCCGGAGGAGAAACTCTCGTGGCGCCATCCTTCCTCACACCTTCGCCTGCTGCCAGCCCCTCTCCTGCCAGGGAGCTGGATGCACAGGGTTCGAAGACGAACCGCAACTTCACACGCATGACCTTTCGGAGCTCGGCGAGGATTCCTCGGATCGGCGCTTGAGGCGCCAGACTCAGATTCAAGACCAGCGGGCGGAGCTCCAGAAGTTGATGTTTATGCAGTTGTTTGGTTCTCCAGGTGGAACGCCGGAGGAAACGAATCCATTAGTTCGTTCACGGGCCAGGCAACAGACAGAGTGCGTTTGACGAAGCGGCTGTCACCAAAGGTACGGGAAGCTGTGCTTCCCCGTGTCGCGTTTAAGGGGCCATCTGGCGTTGCGACTTCCACTGTTGCTGTGACCAGAGTCTGATCCGCCTTTTTGCGCCGCGCGAAACACGGGCCGGGGAGGCGCAGACGTTCGCGTCCACGGCGACCCCCTCACAGCCGTCCGTCGTCCCTCCGCACCTGGCAGTCGTGGAGTACGAGAAGACGCTGCAAGGGCTAGACCCCACGGCGCCGCCAGAGAAGCAGGCCAAGGTGGCTCTGGACGCCGCCATTGCGAGCGGCGACGTTGAGCAGCTCCGGGCGGTGCTGGACCAGATCCGGCTCCACATACCGCAGGAGGTGGCCACCCTCATGATGCACGCGCTGAGAACCACCGCTGTTCAGGACAACCTGGTGGCGATGCAGTTTCTGCTGGCGCAGATCACGGGCTGCCCCCCGCAGCAGGTATTCGAGCTGCTCAAGTACGCGTTGGATGGCGCCGCGGCGCGCGAGAGCCCAGGGGCTATGGACCTGGAGGGCTCCTCCGCGCGGGGCCACGGCATGATGGACTTCCTGCTGGGTGCGGCGCAGAAGGTGTTCCAGGCGCGCCTGTGGCCGAGGGCGCGACCGAGCCACCCGATCCAAGTCTCGGTCGCCCGATCGAGCCCGAGCCCTGCGGCTGGGCCTGCCGATCAAGCCTGCGATCGTTCGATTGAGCAGGAGCCCCGCGATCGAGCTCGGGCCGCGCGGTCGAGCTCGGAGGCCGAGCCCCGCCGTCGAGCTCTGCGGTGGATCGGCCGAGACCGAGGGCGCGTTCCCGGAGCAGTTCCTGCAGCTGGTGCAGCACGCCGTGGGCGCGGCCGCGCGCCGGGGGAACTCCGGCATTCAAACATGCCGTTGGGGGCCGCCGTCGCGGCAAGCCAAGCAGAAATTCCCGAACGGCAGCCCTGCAAGTGGATCGGACAAGGGACACCCCGCACGGATGAAAAAAGCGGGCCGAGAATCGAGGACCTCGACGCCATGTTTTTTTCCTCACGGCGTCGGCCCCGCGGCCGTTGGCCCCCCATTCCCAACCATGGACCTCCCGTTTCGTCTCGCGCGGGCTGGTGTGGAAGTTAGGAGGAGGACCAGATGAGGAGGAGGAGGAGGAAGAGGAGGAGGAGGAGGAGGAGGAGGCCAATTGAAGGTTGTCGTTGCGTAGGAACCTCGCGCTGCTGAAGTTCCTGATGGACCACACGGCCGCGGCCTCACTGCCGATCGACTACGACGGCGTGTTCGCCGCCGCAACGTCTTCCGGCCAGGCGGAGGGCCTGCTGCAGGAGCGAGAAGAGCCGACGAATGATGGCGTACGGCCGATTCGTCGCGTATCGACGCGGCCGCAGCCCATCTCATCAGGTCGAGGACGAGCACATTGCATAAACGTAGACTTTCGCAGATCCGTGCGGATTTCTTGGATTTGTGTTGGACCTAGCGGCGCTTCCGGCTGCACGATCTGGCGATCGGAAAGCGCCGATCGTTCAAGGTTGAACGATCCACGCCATGTCATGAACTAACGCGCAAGGCGGCACGACACGAACCCGCCGTAAGCAGGCTGTCAGGACACGGTTGCCTAGCCTGTCGCCCCGCCGAGTTTGGCCCACCGCGCTTCGGCGCGACACGTTAACTTCCCCGTCCCCGGGCGCTGACGTCTCGCGCCGTTCCCAGCCTTCTGTCCCACGGAGCGGCGCAACACGCTAGCAGCTTGCAAGATATATACAGCGTGTCGCAGGGGCCGCCGCCGCGACACGTGAGACCTGAGTTATGGCCCACAAGCTAGAGTGACTCAGGGGCAGCGTTCGGAGGGGGCTTAGGCTCAGGGGGGAGCGCATGGACCCCCCGTCGTCCATCGATCGCCGATCGCCGTGGGGGGCATATCGCTGATTGATTGGCGACGTAGTGACGATTCCAGGTCGATGTTTGCCCCTTGAGCCAGTCCCTCTCCTCCAGCTCCCCGCAACAACCCTTCAAAGGTCCGCGCGGAGTTCTCTAGTCGGCGCTGGACTATGGCGGTGAAATCTCTACAGACGCACCGCCCGTGGCCAGGCCCATCCTCGGCCCAGCATTGGCCTGGCCAGGAGCAACGTACAAGTGTGGATGTCCTCGCCCGATGGACCCCCATTCCCACACCCTTGGCGGCGCCTCGGGCGGCGCCACCGGCGCCGCCCCTGGTGTGCTCTGCGCGCCAGAGGGAAAGAGCTGTGGAGAGGTGGGTCCCGCGCCGGCTTGAGAAACCCGCGCGGACCTCCGCAAGTTCACGCTTGTGCAGTCTGCTGTTCCTCGCAGGAGGCCATCAAGGGTGGCGCGGACTACGAGAATGTCATCCTCATGCTCCTACAGTCCATCAAGAACCTTCCGCACAACGGCGAATCTGGCGTTGGCAGCCGGCAGTCTCTGAAGAACACTGCCAAGGTGCAGCTCGTGAGGAGCTACAAGCAGAGGGACCCCGCCCTCTTTGCCAAGCTCATGGCCGCTGTCAAAACGTTCTTTCCCGAGGACCTCTCGCAGGCCTCCCCTGGCGGCTTCGACGGCGACGTCAGCATGTGACGAGCAGGCGCCAGGCGCGGGGGGGAGGCGGGGCCGGTGGAGGATCCGGGGCGCCGAGGTGGGGGAGTGGCCGAGGTGGGGACCTCGACCCCTGGCCGCGCGCTCGTCGCCGCTCGAGGCCTGGGTGCCCCGCCCTGCCCGGGAACGTGCGGCTCGCCATCGGGGGGCTGTCGCCGATCGGATGGCCAAGCCGACGTGCCCCCTCCCGCGACGGTCCCCCCCCCTCTCGGGCTCTCCTGAGATCGGGGGCGAGCCCGGGCGGGGGGGGGAGCGAGAGGGGGCAGGCCTTCTCAGACCGTCCGAGACGCTCCTCGCGCTTGTTCCGACTAGGCAGAACGTGTCTCAGAAGTCTCGGGGGCTTCCGAGAAGCCCCGTCGCCGTCTCAGAAGGCCTGTGCCCTCTCACTTCCCCCCTGGACTCGCCGCCGATGAGGGGGGGGAGGACAGAGCGGGGGTTCAGGATTCACGGTCATCGAGGATTTGACGTCGGAGCGTACAGAACGTAGGCCCCGCGACCTTGCGACCCTGCGCACAAAGCGGGTATTCCAGCAGGGGAACAAAACAGATCAGTCCGACGCAGTGAGCTCGACAGGCCCGTCTCTGCAGTGCTGCTTCGACAAGTTCGGCTCGAGGGCCTTCCGTAGGGGTGTCGCGAAGGCCCCTGATGATGGTCGACGCTTGAGTTTTTCGTGGCAGCAGGACGGCGCGAAGAAGCCAGGCGTCAACCAGCAAGGCCTTCGCTCCTCGGTATCTTGAATCTCTTGGGGCGTTGTGGGGGGGCATTGGGCGTCCCTTGTGACTCTCTCGAGGCCGTCTTGGGGGCCTTCGGGGCCCGTAGGGCCGGTCCATGAAGCCATCGATCAAAAACGTGGGGCAACTGCGGTCCCCATGTCGGAGGCTGAGTAATCGTCTCTCAGGGCCCTCTTTCGATGCACTTGGGGCGTTCTTGCATCCATTCTGGGCCGTCTTGGAGCCCTTGTGGGTCTCTCGTGGCGCCCCCTTGGGCGATCGTATGGCCGTTTTGAGGCCTCAAAAGGCAATGCGGAGCGAACGTGCAAGAAGTTCAAATCGTTGGAAAGCCTTGGGCCTCTGGAGGGTATCGGTGAGAGTCTCCGAAGCCTTGTGAAGCCATGTTGGACGTATCTCATAGCCTCTCGGAGGCACGGAGGATGCTATACTGGACCAAGTTTGCTGTTATTGAACCATCTGGGAGGCAATCGTATGACGTCTGGGGCCATCTCGGAGCTATCTTGAGCGCCCGCGGACCTTCTGCCATCTCGCGGGGGAAGGGTGGGTCGGGGGGCTTCCAGATCTGGGGGGGGGGGCGGTCAAGTTCCCAACGGGAACGTCAGGCTGTCTCGCTCACTCCCGCCTGCTATATAAGTAACATCCGGGACACAGCATCATCAGATGTCGCCATCGGATGGACCGGCATCGTGAACCAGTACAGATCCAGGTCCGCGACGCTCGCGAGGTGCGCCTCGCGTGCCAGGTGCGCCACTCGCACCAGGTGTCCTAGGTGACCCATGGGTCAACGCGTGCCAGGCGCGCCTGGTGCGCCAGATGCGCCACCTGCACGAAGTGTGCCACATGCTCCAGCCGCGCCAGGTGCGCCACGTTTACGACGCGCGCAGATGGCGCCAAGCTGCGACAACACTCGCAATCAGTTTGTATTGGCTCTTGATGCGCATCATCTGCGAGCGCGCCGCAGACACGTACTACCCCCCCTCCCCTGTCCATCCCGTGATGAAAACCAAGGCAACGTGATCGCGGGGTGCACGCTTTTGGTCCACAGTTTAGTTTGCAATTGAGTGCGCTTCGTGGTGTTTTTCTTGTGGCAGGGACGGTGGAAGGGGGCAGTGTTCGTGGTCGGTGGGGCGGTCGAATGGGAGAGAGGCGTTTACCAACAAGGAGCAGTGATGCACCCCTACCCAAAAGGACAGAAGGGGATTGGCAGAGTTGAAACGGTAATCCACCTACGCCGAGGGTGTTGCTGACATGGTTTGTTAGAACATGGTCGCACATCTGTTGGCTTCCAACCCTGCTGGAAGATTTCAGAACTTGCGGGATGCAAATGTCGATGGGGCGCCTGCTACCCACCTGATTGCACGGGCCCCTGCCAGGATCGGTGTATGTGGATCGCTGGCGTCCCCCAAGGGGAGGGGGCGGGGCTGCGGGACTGACAGTCATAGGCTTTGACGTGAGAGTGCACGGAATACAGAGCCCGCGACCTTGCGTCTATAGACACAGACACAGAGTGGCTCACAGCGGAAAACATGCGCTTTGCTCATCGCTGTTACGGGACCTTCTGCTAATCACGCCTCGCTCCTGCACATCTGTCTCGACCCTCGCGTCGCGCTTCCCTCACTTAATACTCTGCACTCTTCTTGTTCATGCTTCATCATGATCCAATCTGTCCGTCCCTGTTTGGCATCATTCCTGTCGCTATCTTCATGCCGTCCCGCTGCACAATGCCAGCTTGGTGGGCAAGCACGTGACACATAACGTAAGTATGTAGCGGATTAGGTAAAAAGAAAGCACGTGAGCAAGTGAGCTAGTTAGCAAGCAACCATTTTCGCAAGTAAGCACGCGGCCAAGGAGCCTTGGTTCCAATGGACCGAATCAAAGGAACCAAGAAACCAAGGTTAAGGAACCAAGGAACCAAGGTATCAAGGAACCCGGGGACCACCCCAGGGAACTCCTATTTACAGGAACACGACCAAGCAACCTTGGGGAACCTGGCGACGACCGCGTTTTGCATCCACCAGCTCTTCAAAAGCAAGTAAGGCCCTCTAGGCACAGCCTGCTTTGGAAAGAATAGCATCAACAACGAAACATGTGCGCAACTTGTAGCGCATCCGCAGGCCGTGACCGACCGCCGAGTGCGCAACTAGGGGCGCACCCGACAACAGTACGTTCATTTTTGGCAGCCGAGTGCGCAACTTATGGCGGAATTGAAACCGCGCAGTTTTGTCCCTGTACGCCGAGCGTGCAACCTATGTCGCAATGAGCAGCAGTATTTTTTCATGTGTGGTCGCCGAGTGCACACGCATTCAATAGCAAGCAGTTGCATTTCCAGCTGCCGAGTGCTCAACCTCTGACGCATTTAACCTCAGGCTGTTCTATTTCCAGCTCCCGAGTGCCAAACCACGGGCGCACTCAGATTCCGTTTTTTTCCAAAAGGCTCTACCCATGGGCGGCGCAATTCATGATGCACTCCATGGGTGACGCACGCCCTGGTAGTTTCTCTTGGTCTGCGCCCGATGTATGCTCGTTGTTTGGGCTGCAAGCGACATCCTCTTCTGTGATGTCGTGTCGTCTTTTCCTTTTGTTACGTTAGTCGTGTCCAAGGGGCACGAACGACTTGGGACTATGTCAGCATTGATGGCGGATCTTTCATGTCTGTCCACCAGGCTCTGCGGCCGATTCAAGGCCAACCCATACGTATCGTTCCCAGCCTACCCCCCCGCAGCATACCCGATGTTTTTGTTTCTGCGCTCACACATCCTTCGCTCAGTCTTTGTGGGCCATGTATTAGCCCTGTCGCCGCCACGATTGCGACGAGCTTCAGCGGTCTTCGGCCAGAGTTTGATATAAACGACAGGGCTATGGAGCAGAACATTCACCTTTCGTGAAGTGCACGATTGCAAGTACAGCGAGTGTGCATCTGGTAGTGTGCCTTTCAGCTCGCAGTTCCGCCGCAGCATTTTTCCGCCGCATCAAGGCTCAAAGGATCGCCGACCGAATCCATATTTTACAATTCCATATAGGCGAATGTAGGGCCACGTGCTGTATGCGGCATCAGCTGCCATGGTTCACTCGCGCTGCATTGCCAATTGCGTCTTGCTGACCCTCACGCTGCCCTCCCAGTCGGCAATTCAGGCGGGGCAGTGGGAAGCAGGTAAAGGAAGACCAACGGATGGCCAAGGGCAATCGAGGAACGTGGGACAAATAGAGTTGAGGAAACGGATTCACCGCCCCAGTGTCCATTAGCATTTGAAATCTCCTGCATGAAGAGACCCAGTGGCGAACCGATCTGGAAGTCCCTTCGTATGCCGTCGGCTTTCACACCTGTGCGCGTGTTGACGGGCCACGGCGATCCGCAGCCAAAGGAGTGCGTTTGGTTATCGATAGTCGAACGTTGCCCGTGAATGTGATTGTGCCGAGGGAAGGGCCTCAAAGAGGAGGAGGAGGAGGAGGAGGCATCGCATATGCTTTCCCAAAGGCGACGCGGTGTCAGATTGCTGCCGGCACACGTGCATTCTCGTTGGCTCTGCCTCCGCGTTGATTGTGGTCGGATTCGAACCCAGTGTTGCGCAGTCTGTTCAGGCCGAACGTGGATAGGGAAGAGGTGGCGAGGAGAACCAGGGGAGGCCTGACCGACTCCTAGCAAGCCGACCCCGTGCCTCGCTCCAAGACGTGCGCGGGAGACGGAGTGGGCCTCGAGGGGCGGGCCCCTCACGGAACGGGCCCGTCGTGGAAAGGGCCGGTCACGGAAATGGTCGGTCAGGTTGCGCCCGATCTTGTTCGACTTCGATGGTGGCGACGATGACGGTGACGTCATCGTCATCGGCGTCGTTTTTGTCATCGGCGTCGCCATCGCCATCGTCATCACCACTTCCCCAGCCCCCGTGCGCTCCGCAGAGGTTCAAAAGCTTGTTCACGATCGGGAACTTTTGCTTAGCGTGAATCGCTGCCAGTTCTGGCCCACCACGCCCAGGCGCAACACGCTAATCACATCCCAGTCCCCAAACGTGGACGTTCCGAGCTCTTCCCAGCCTCCCACCCCGCAGTGCGGAGCGACACGCTGTCAGTTTTCAGCTCGCAAGACATAGCGTGTCGCCGGGGCTGCCACCGCGACACGGTAGGCAAAAGCTCCCGACCGTAATCCCTCCATGTGGATCAGAAAAAGGACGCCCTGCATGGATGAGCAAACGAGAGTCCAGAATCGAGGAACTCAACGCCGTCCTTTTTCATCACGGAGTCGGCCTGGAGCCCTCGCCCCCCCCCCCCCACACCCCACCATGGACCAGCCTCTTCGCTTCGTGCCAGCCCATGTGGAGGTGACGAGGAGATGGAGGAATAGGAGGAGGACGAGGAGGAGGAGGGGGAGGATGTGATTGAACGCTACAAGCACAGCACTTAGAGTCCGCCCAACGCAAAAAGGAGGAGGTGACGAGCAGGAGGAGGTGGCGAGGGTGAGGAGAAGGAGGAGGATGAGGAGGAGAAGGAGGAGGATGAGGAGGCGGAGGAGGAGGAGGTCACCAGGAGGAGTCAGACGTGGAGGGCCTCCACGCCGTGATGTCCCTCGCACGGCGTGGGCCTCGGAGCCCTCGGCCCCCGTCCCCCCAGGGCCAACTTTCTTGTCTCCGCGCGGGCCGGCGTGTCTAACGGGCCCCTGGGGAACCCGCGCCCTAGCCTCCATGATGGCCGGGCTTGCCCACCCAAAATAGCGCCCTCGGACGGGGCTGGGACGAGGATAAATCCGTTTCAGAGCGTTCCGCAACGCTTTCAGAGCGTCCAGGGCGTTCCGCAATTTTCTGAGAAGGCCGCGGCGCCCGAGACATCCTCCAGAGCCACCGGATCTCAGAGACTCTCGATTAATCCGTATCTGATTTTATCCTCGTCCTGACTTCGTTTTAAATCATGCGGGCAGTTGTTTTGTTTTGTTGTGGCCGCCACTCATGTGGGTCTCGGCCCCCTGCCCCCTGCTAGCGGATGCTGCAGGTTGGTCGCCGAGGATCCTCAGGTCGTGTGTTAGCCCATTCTGAGTTTACCCCGTTCAGCTCTACTGAAAGCACGCAGCGAGTGTCGGCCCTCATTGCACAGCCTGCTTTGTACTGGAGAGCTTCGGTGGACAAGAACACTCAAGCGCTAGCACACGTTTTGAGGGTCATCGGGGGTGGCTCCAATGGGACTCGACTTCCTAGCTGGTCTCGGGATGAGAACTCTGAGGCCTGATGCGTTCTCCTTATCCTGCTCCCTTGCCAGCGCGAGCTGACGAAGCTGATGAAACGAGTGTCTCGTCGCGCGCGAGCGCGGGCTGACGAGGCCCCCGCGCGAGGCTGCTGTTCTGCCGGCGTAAGCCGAGGAAGCCCCTCATCGCGAGCCTCCTGCTGTCTGCCGCCGCGCCGCCGCCTGGGCCCGAGCGCAGCGACCCCCCCTCAGAGGATGGCAGCGGCGGCAGCCCGCGGGATGTCCGATGGTGCCGGGCCGTCCGCGGGGCCGCGAGGGTAGCCCGCGCCCCGCGGGCCCGTGCCGCAGAGCTGCCCAGCCCCCCGTGGCAGCGGCGACAGCGCGAGGGCGCGAAGAGCACTGCGCGCCTCGCGGGGCACGAGGGCGCGAGCTGACCTGCTGTGACCCAGGACCGGGCGCAGGGAAGTCGGATGGGGAAGACGGCGGCGCATGCTTCAGCTTCTGGAGGTGCGCGCAGGTTCCTCGGGTCGGCGCTGGACCCCCTCTGGCGGCGCTTCCGGCGCCACCCCTGTCGCGCGGAGCGCGCCAGAAAGGAGGGGGGGCGTCCAGCCGCGACTCAAGAAAGACTCACGAACCTTCAGCATATTTTGCTTACATGTGCCGTACGCGTTCGTCTGGTCTTCTCAGGAAAGTCGTCGCCCGTCGTCGTCCGATATCGTCGTCGTCGCCGCCGCCGTCGTCATCGCCGCCGTCGTCGTCGTCGTCGCCGTCGTCGTTGTCGTCGTCGTTCGCCGTCGTCTTCGTCGCCGTCGACGTCGTCGTCGTTGTCGTCTGTTGTCTTCCAAGTGCCCACCACCTCCACCACAGGCTTGCGGCCCTTTTTGCGCCAGGGTCTGGGTGCACATCGGCTCCCAGACCCAGGCCTGGCTCAGCGGCGGGCCTGCGTATAGGCTTAGCTGCGGGTGGTGCCCACAGCTGCCACGAGGGTTGATCAGAACACTATCCTCAGAGGCGTACCCTCATGCAATACTTGTCGTTTGGGGTAGTGTCGAGTTTAATTGTTTGGTCGATCCTGCCAAATCAAGGGCACCCGTGTGTCCCGCGTTCGGGACCCATGCCTTCTGCAGATCTATGGGGCTGTGGCCCTCGGAAAGGCTTGTGTCCTCTCGCGTGTCCTCTGCAGTCGAACTCGGCTGCAGCTCCACGGGGCATCTGGCCTTCGGCGGAGGGGCCAGTGCTCTTGACAACGCACTCCCGTGGCCGTGCCTCCACCGTGCTGCGCCCAGGCCTCCGGCGCCTCGAGCTTCTCGAGCCGCTGGACCTTGAGACCCACCCTTGCCTGGGACCCAGGCTTGCCCCCCGAGTCCGTGCTCGAAGGCCCCGGGTCCTGGAGACGGCTCGCCTCTCAACCCTTCGAGTCGGGGATGGACTACAGAATTGATTTACCCCAAGATTGATTCTTCCATTTAAATCTACGAACAAACGTGCAATGCTCCGTAGATCCACGGGACATTCTGTATATGTTCCGTAGATTCGGCGGACAAGCTCTTTTGGGCAAATCAATTCTGTAGTCGATCCCCTAGTCGAACCTTTCCGTGGGATCCCGCTCACAGTCCCTGGCTCGCCCTCCACGACCTCACTGGGCCCTGTCAAGCAGGCCCGAGGCGGCGCATAGTCAACCAGTTCTTTTTACATTGTTGCGTCCTCAGGAGAGTCTGCGCCGGCAAAACATGGAGGAGGAGGGGGAGGAGGAGGAGGAGGAGGAGGAGGAGAAGGAGGAGGAGGAGGAGGATAATAATCTTAATAATCAGACAAAGAAGAATCTTAGGAAGAAGAAGAGGAGGGGGGGGGGCATGTGAGGATCCAGAACCCCAAACGTAGGAGGACCCAGACTCTCAAACATCCTGCCCCCCCCTCCCCCCCCCTCCACCCCAGGATGGTGCAGGCAAGGTGCAGGCTGCTCCTCCTCGCCGTCGCCGCCAGCGTGGCCCTCAACCTCCTCGCAGAGCAGCTGGCCGCAGACTACGCGCCCAGCCGCCTCCGCGCGGGCGGCGGCGGCGCTGCGCCGCCGCGGGGGGACGGCGAGCGCCGCGAAGGCGAGCCCAGCTCTGCGACGCTGCGCAGTGCGCCGCACTCGCGGGCAGGAGTGAGGGGGGCGGCTTTCCCCGCGCGCGTCGCGCCCCCAAAGTGTCGCCCACGCGTATCGCCCCCCAGGTGTCGCCTCCCAGGTGTCGCCCCCGCGCGTCGCCCCCACGTGTCGACCCCACATTCCCCAAGTGCCGCCATCGTGCACTGCCCCCAAGTGTTGCAGTGATGCCCGCAGTGACCCCACGTGTCGCCCCTGGACGCCACGCCCCCTGTCCAGCCACGCGCTGGGAGAGAGTAAGACGGGTCGGGCCCCCCCTTTTTCCGATGATTTGCCCAGTCCAGGCGTTGGTTCCCGTTGTCGGGTCCCGGGGCTATCGAGAAACGGATCTGGGCAGAAAAACCACCCCCGTGGAAGGATTCGGGAATTCAAGAGTCCATCGAGGGGCGGCGCCTTGACCATCACACCGGTGCATGTCTAGGAACGGGTCCGGATGTCAGTGATCGGTTTTTGGGCTCGCGGGGTCGTCTCCTCCCGCTCCTCCCCCTCCACCTCCTCCTCCCCGTCGTCCTCCTCCTCCTCCTTCGCCTCCTCGACCCTCCTCCTCCTCCTCCTCCTCCTCCTCCATCTCCTCCATCTCCTCGTCCTCTTCCTCCTCCTGGCCACACAGGCGAGGCGGCCCTGGCGGAGCCCGCGGCGGTGGAGCTCTTCACCGGCCGCTACTCGCTGTGGCGGAACGGGTCGCACGCGGTCTCGGGGCACGCCCGCATGGCTGTCAGCCCCGCGGACCCGTCCTGGCGGCGCGCACGGGGGGGGCGGCGAGAGGGGGGCCTTCTCAGGAGGGCTTCTTGCAGACGGCGGGGGGGCCTTCTCAGGAGGA